TGTATTTTTTTTTTTTTTTAGATAGTTCTACTGGCAAAAGGGGCCAGGCCGTAGTGAGCTATCAGAAATTTCTGACTAAAGTTCCACTTTAACTGAATTCTATTCAGTGGGAGCTTGATGGTGAAAAGTAGTAAGACAACAAAAATGGGTACACAGGAGGAAATCCAAATTGAAATTAATCAGGAGCACCAACTGAAAAATGAATCACCTCACTACTGTCATACGTTTTAAAATAGCAGTATGGTATATGTGTATTTCTAGAGCGCCATGTACAAATGGTACTGCAGAAAATGCATATGGGCAACCAGTGAGCCAATGAATAGCTGTCATTGGGCAGCTCAAATCACAGGCACAATATAGAGAGGATCGGAGTAGCTTGTGATTGCGCTGATGACCAATTACAGAAATTACAAATGTAAACAATCAGGTGTTTACATCTGAGAGCCCCGCCCCCCTCCTCTCACAAAAGAAGAGGACAAATAAAGAGAAATCAATGAAGATTAATGAATAAAAGGAATAGCAGCAGTAGCATAGAATGGATACAATTTTTTTTTAAACCAGTTGAAACATCATGTTTATTACAGTACTGCAGTCAGGCTGCATAAAATAAATGTGTTTTTTTTTTTGCTGTCCTATTGTGCTGCACCTAGGGTTAAAATGCCCTCTGTACATAGTAGTTCGCTACAGATCAAGACTAATTCCCAACACAGAACACAGCTCTGAGTAGTGCTATTGATTGAAGTATTGTGCAGGAGGATGTCAGACAGCCATAGACGAGAGCCAGTCCACTCTGCACTGAGCAAAAATGTGTGAATCTGATTAATGAGATATTTCTATTGATGAGTAAATAATGCACAATAAAGCAACATGTCTACAGAAAAGCAAAGGAAGCAAATAACCAAAGAATAATCTGAAACTGTGATCGAGCTGAACTTGGCATATTCAATACAGTTTTGTATTTATTTTGAAAAACAAAGCATATTTGGAACTCGTTCACATTGGTATACTTAAGTGTACCCCTGTGAGAGCTGTATTATCTCTGCACAGGTGTTCCATGCATCTATATGGACGCAGTCCCATTCATTTCAATTGCCGCTGCTTTAATTTGACATCCGTGTGGGTCTACGTCTCCAAACTCACACTAACTGCTTTTGAAGACACACAGCTGCACCCACATGTCAAATTGGGAGTAGCTGCTACATCCCAATGGACTTGAATTGGACTGCCTGTATGTGGCTGCAAGGAACACCTGTACATCCATAAAGGGAAAAGATGGCCCTCACATGGGATTATGCTTAACTATACCCATGTGAGTGAGACCGTAAAACTTAAAACCTTTTTTTTGTCCATTTTTAGATAACATGTGGAAGGATTATAACCCTTGTAAGGTTTACATTGCTGTCTGTTCCCATGCTGGGGAGATGACTCTACTTGTTTTGTTTTGGTGACTATTGCACTGGAACAGAAAATCATGCAAAGTTCAAAACTTTTTCAGTGGTCACCATAGCAAGGGCCATTGGCAAAGTTATCACTATGTTAAAATTATCCAAGAAAGGACTATTTTGCACAGATTTCTTCTTAGTTGCGGTTTTGTCTCCAAACAGGCAGAGACAGGATTTTTCAAATTCCCTCTTTCCAAAGCAAGCAACAATGGCTTAACCTGTACTTAAACCAGTTGCCGATCGCAGATAGCCAAATGACGGCTACACTGCGGCCGGCAAGTTCTGGGAGGGTGTCATTGACGTCTTCCCAGAACGCGCTCTCCTGCGCGCACCCGGCGATTTCCGTTATCGTTGTGTCGTACGGACACAGCTGATCACTTGATGTGGTAAAAGGCCAATCACATCAGCCTTTTACCACGTGATCAGCCGTGTCCAATCACACGCTGATCACAGGGAAATGCAATTGCCGGTTCTGACAGATCGTGAGGAAAGTACTGCCGAGAACCGGCAGTTGTCAGAGCAGGGATCGGCACCGATCATCAGTGCCCTGATGATCAGTGCCACTGACCAGTGCCCATCAGTGCAGCCCAGCAGTGCTGTCAGTCAGTGCCACCAGTCAGTGCCCAGCAGTTGCGCCAGTCAATGCCTAACAGTGCCGCCAGTCAATACCTAGCAGTGCTGCCAGTCAGTGACCAGCAGTGATGCCAGGCAGTGCCACCTGTCAGTGCTGTCTATCAGTACCCATCATCAGTGCCGCCTATCCGTGCCACCTCATTAGTGCTTCCTATCCATGCTGCCTATCAGTGCCCATCACTGCTGCCTCATCAACGCACATCAGTGAAGGAGAAAAATGACCTGTTTGCAAAATTTTATAATAGAAACAAAGAAACTTTTTTTTTTTCACATTTTTTGCACTTTTTTTGTTTATAGCACAAAAAGTAAAACACCCAGCAATGAGTAAATACCACCAAAAGAAAGCTCTATTCGTGAAAAAAAATTATAAAAATTTCATATGGGTACAATCTTGCATAACCGCGCAATTGCCAAAGTGCGACAGCGCTGAAAGCTGAAAATTGGCCTGGTAAAGAAGGGGGTATAAGTGCCCGTTAGGCAAGTGGTTAAAGGTCACTAGGGTTGTTTTTTAAAGCTGGCTCCTGTAATCTCTTGCACAGCAGATCTCAGACTGGGAGAAAAGGTGGGCCAGAACTAGAAGCTACTCTGCAGTGTATGTGTGCTGACAGTAGAAGACAGTATAGGGTACAACCTCGTTTACTACTGATCCTTCATCAGAAAGATGGGTTCTGTTTTGCCCCAATTCTTTAGTGCAAATTGTGCTTCTGCAGTGATGGTCGATTACATGGCCATACAATATGACAGCAGTGCATGAATCGTAATACTGGCTGCACAGCAAGAGGGACAGCATTTGGCCCTTGGTGAGGTGGCATCCTTTCCTGTGGACAGTCCAACATTGTTCTGCATGAAAAATACAAGCAGACATTTGGTATTCAGGTGTAGTTACCCTGCCCTAAGCATCAGTGTCATTTAATTGCAGTCCTCCCTAGCTCTATCCAGCTATTGATTATTTATTTATTAGAGGTACTTATATAGCGCCGTCAGTTTACGCAGTGCTTTACATATATATTGTACATTCACATCAGTCCCTAACCCTCAAGTCAAGGGGCGTACAATCTAAAGTCCCTAACTCACATTCATGCATACATATACTAGGGCCAATTTAGACAGGAGCCAATTAAACTACCAGCATGTCTTTGGAGTGTGGGAGGAAACCAGAGTACCCGGAGGAAACCCACGCAGGCACAGGGAGAACACGCAAACTCCAGGCAGGTGGTGCCGTGGTTGGGATTCGACCCCAGTACTGCCAGGCGGTAGTGCTAACCATTTAGCCACTGTGTAATTAACAGATTGTGCTGCTTTCCTGCGACTTCCCCAATTTCAGCTTGAAAATGTACTACTGCTGTCTATCAGGGAATGCCTCTGGTAGCAGAGTAGAGAGGCAACAGGTCTAGAGGATATTTGTGTGCTTTTCCTGCCAACTGATGGCAGCGTAGTTATCAGTGGTGCATGCTGTAAAGGATATAAATATTTGGTTAAATATTGGGGAGAAGGTCTTTCGCCCCCAGGCTTACACCTGGGAAGGAGTCCTGTCAGTGCTGTTAACCTTCTAACTGCGCTGCCTAGGGAGGCCTTACACGTTTGAAGGTCAGGCCTGGATTAAAATCTGGAGTTGTCCTGCCTGAATGAAGGAAGCTAAACTCAAATTGGAGTAAAAAGGGAAAAGATCAGGAGGTCTCCTGGATAGCTAGGGGCAGCTGAGGACTGGCAAACCAATTGAGAATGAACAGACCCTTCTATTCACCAGTCAGATACTTCTAAATTACAGGAACGCTGGTGTCAGCTTAACCGCCACCCGACCACAATGTACTGCAGCTGGGTGTCAGCTACAGGCAAAGCGCCGTACCCGTATGTCACTCTGGCTGTACTAAGACAAGGGGGTGCAGTGCGCCCAAGCGGGCACGCAGCACTCCCCCGCCGTGACTGCTGTGTCTGCCGGACACAGCGGAATGAATATCCCGGCAAACGGGACCCTGTGATCATGTGATCGCTATGCGATCACATGATCACAATGTAAGCAAAGCTGTTATGAATCAATCTCATTCATAACAGCTCTGCTTCTCTTCCTAGTGAGCTGTGATTGGCCCACAGCTGATACATGGGGCAAATCTCAGCATCCTGTACCATATGACCAGCTCCAGCCAATCACAGATCACTATTTTTGATGACAGTTCATAGATGAGTTAGGTTCATGACTCTTTGATCTTTATTTCTTCTGCAAAGCAAAGTGTAGAAAAAAACAAAAAAAAAAAAAATCCCTGATCAACCCCCCCCCCCCAACAGTAGTACATTGTACTATTCTCATAAAAGTATTTAAAAAAATGTTTACAAAAAATAAGATACATTTTTTTTTTTTTTTAATTCTCAATATGGTATTTTTTAATGTTTTTTTTTTTTTTTTTTAAACTACTTGCCAACTGCTTACCCGCATTTTTTGGGCGAGCAGCAGCTCTTGGCAAAGTGAATTGATCAACCTTTCGATCACCCAGTCACCCAGCCAGTGCCATTAGTACAGTGTCAGTATATAGAATTTTTCACTGATCACTATATTACTGCCACTAGCAACATCAGATAATGTCAGGGTCAGTAAGCGCCACTAACAGCCAGGGTCAGCTAGCGTTAGATTGCCCGCACACTACAGGTTGCTGGTCACTGCCATTACTAGTAAAGTATTAGTATAGATCAATATATCGATCACAAACAGAACTATACTAGTGTCTCCTTTGTAGTGTCCCCAAAAACGCAGTGTTAACAGGATCGACCCCGTTCGCTGCCAGCACTAGCGTTTAGCCCCTCCGCTGTTCTTCACGGAAGATTTGTACCAATTGATAGTGGACCAAGGCAACAACAATACATTTATATGCACAACAATACATTGCCCACCCAAATTCAGCTCTTGCCAGACAATTCACATGGAAACCCATCACGGTTTCTGATTTTAAAACTTTTTTGGGACTTACATTCAACATGGGCATTACAAAAAAGAATGAATTGCGGTCATATTGGTCCACAGACCCGATTCATCATATGCCCATGTTCTCTGCTGTTACATATATGCCCAACATGGACCAGCAATGTACTGGTACATCACTGGACTTTGAGTGGTTATACCGGGATGATGCCTGCAGCTACAGGCATAATCCTGGTATCGTATTTTCAGCTGGCGGTCAGCTTTCATTTAAAAGCATTCCTAGTGGCCAGTTAGCTGCTGAATTGTTTTTACTAGCAGCAGGAAGGGACATCCCCCCCTCCTGCTACCTTCCACAGTTTTCTTGGGCTCTCCTGTCCCACAGGTGAATACAAGAATGCAACTGGCAGTTCTGCTGGCTGACTATAGAGCGGATCAGAGGCCAGAATGATTTCAATCATCTCTAGAGTCTAAGAAATCTGAAGCTACAAGCATTTCATCACTTCAGTTTCGCAGGATATAAACAACTCCATTTGTAAATTGAGAAAGCATCTGATCACACTGATCTTCGTGAGATCAGATGTTGTAAGGGCAGAGGAGATATCTAGAGTCTAATAGACTCCAAATTTCTCATAAAAGAATACCTGTCAATGCCAATTGCAGTCAGAGGGGATATTTACATTGCCTATGACAAAAAAAAAAAAAAAAAAAAAAAAAAAAAAAAGGAGTGTAAAAATAATAATAAAAAAAAAAAAAATCAAAATAACGAAGGGAAAAAACCCCAAAAAAGCACCCTTGCCCCCCTGCGCGCGCAAGCGTTGACCCCATGGCGGTATGTAAACAGTAGTTGCACCATGCATGTGAGGTATCGCCGCGAGCGTCAGATCTACGGAAGTAATTCTAGCACTAGACCTCCTCTGTAAATAGAAATTGGTGGCCTGTAAAGGCTTTTAAAGCGTCGCCTGTCGATAATAAAAATGTATGTAATTTGTTGCCATTGCTCCAGCATGTACAATTTAAAGCCATCATGTTTGGTATCCATTTACTCGGCGTAACATTATCTTTTATAATGTATCAAACAATTGGGCAATACATTGTGTTTTTGTACATTAAAATTCTAAAAAAAAATTTATTTTTCCCCAAAAAATTTGCGTTTGAAAAATCACTGCGCAAATAATGTGTGACAAACAATTTGAACACCCAACGTTTTATTCTCCAGGGCCTCTGCATTAAAAAAAAATATATATATATAATGTTTGGGGGTTCAAAGTAATATTCTAGCAAAAAAAACAGTTTTTACATGTGCACTAAAAGTGTCAGAAAAGGGTTGATCTTCAAGAGTGGGTGATGTGTGGCATAAGCTTCTAATGTTTGCCTCGAAATAACAGGATAGTAGAAGCAACCCCTCAAAATGGCCCCTTTTTGGAACATAGACACTCCAAGGTATTTGCTAAGAGGCATGGTGAGTATTTTGCGGATCTCATTCGTTGCCATGTTTTTGGAAAAAGAAAGAAAACAAAACTCTATTTTTTTCTTTTTCAAATACATGTGACAAAAATATCTGTAAAATATATACAGTCAGGTCCATAAATATTGGGACATCGACACAATTCTAACATTTTTGGCTCTATACACCACCACAATGGATTTGAAATGAAATGAACAAGATGTGCTTTAACTGCAGACTGTCAGCTTTAATTTGAGGGTATTTACATCCAAATCAGGTGAACGGTGTAGGAATTACAACAGTTTGCATATGTGCCTCCCACTTGTTAAGGGACCAAAAGTAATGGGACAGAATAATAATCATAAATCAAACTTTCACTTTTTAATACTTGGTTGCAAATCCTTTCCAGTCAATTACAGCCTGAAGTCTGGAACGCATAGACATCATCAGACGCTGGGTTTCATCCCTGGTGATGCTCTGACAGGCCTCTACTGCAACTGTCTTCAGTTTCTGCTTGTTCTTGGGGCATTTGCCCTTCAGTTTTGTCTTCAGCAAGTGAAATGCATGCTCAATCGGATTCAGGTCAGGTGATTGACTTGGCCATTGCATAACATTCCACTTCTTTCCCTTAAAAAACTCTTTGGTTGCTTTTGCAGTATGCTTTGGGTCACTGTCCATCTGCACTGTGAAGCGGCGTCCAATGAGTTCTGAAGCATTTGGCTGAATATGAGCAGATAATATTGCCCGAAACACTTCACAATTCATCCGGCTGCTTTTGCCAGTAGTCACATCATCAATAAATACAAGAGAACCAGTTCCATTGGCAGCCATACATGCCCCCGCCATGACACTACCACCACCATGCTTCACTGATGAGGTGGTATGCTTAAGATCATGAGCAGTTCCTTTCCTTCTCCATACTCGTCTCTTCCCATCACTCTGGTACAAGGTGATCTTGGTCTCATCTGTCCATGGGATGTTGTTCCAGAACTGTGAAGGCTTTTTTAGATGTCGTTTGGCAAACTCTAATCTGGCCTTCCTGTTTTTGAGGCTCACCAATGATTTACATCTTGTGGCGAACCCTCTGTATTCACTCTGGTGAAGTCTTCTCTTGATTGTTGACTTTGACACACATACACCTACCTCCTGGAGAGTGTTCTTGATCTGGCCAACTGTTGTGAAGGGCGTGTTTTCTTCACCAGGGAAAGAATTCTTTGGTCATCCACCACAGTTGTTTTCTGTGGTCTTCCGGGTCTTTTGGTGTTGCTGAGCTCACCGCTGCGTTCCTTCTTTTTAAGACTGTTCCAAACAGTTGTTTTGGCCACACCTAATGTTTTTGCTATCTCTCTGATGGGTTTGTTTTGTTTTTTCAGCCTAATGATGGCTTGCTTCACTGATAGTGACAGCTCCTTGAATCTCATCTTGAGAGTTGACAGCAACAGATTCCAAATGCATATAGCACACTTGAAATGAACTCTGGACCTTTTATCTGCTCATTGTAATTGGGATAATGAGGGAATAACACACACCTGGCCATGGAACAGCTGAGAAGCCAATTGTCCAATTACTTTTGGTCCCTTAACAAGTGGGAGGCACATATGCAAACGGTTGTAATTCCTACACCGTTCACCCGATTTGGATGTAAATGCCCTCAAATTAAAGATGACAGTCTGCAGTTAAAGTACATCTTGTTCGTTTCATTTCAAATCCATTGTGGTGGTGTATAGAGCCAAAAATGTTAGAATTGTGTCAATGTCCCAATATTTATGGACCTGACTGTATATATAATATATATACCATAATTTGAAAATGTCTGTGCGCCTTATGGAGCGAATATAGAGCGGCTGGACCGGCATCCCCGCAGCCGCCATGTTAGAATACCGGGCTGGCCACTCGGCTCTACTGTGCAGAAGAACCTGCTCCTCGTTCCTACCTGTTCCTCGGTCCAGCGGTGTCCTGCTTTCACCAGCTGTCTTCTCTTCCCGGCACCGGCATCTTCAGTGTGGGCACCCGTCTGTGACAGCTTGTGGCTTCACAGCCGCTCCCCAAAGGGCTGCAGTCTCTGGTCATCTCCTGTACTGTGTCCGCAGTCTCTGGTCATCTCCTGTACTGTGTCCGCAGTCTCTGGCCATCTCCTGTACTGTGTCCCCAGTCTCTGGCCATCTCCTGTACTGTGTCCCCAGTCTCTGGCCATCTCCTGTACTATGTTTGCAGTCTCTGGTCATCTCCTATACTATGTCTGCAGTCTCTGGTCATCTCCTGTACTATGTCTGCAGTCTCTGGTCATTTCCTGTACTATGTCTGCAGCCCATTGGTTCAGAATATTTTTTTTTCTTGTATTCCTCCTCTAAAATCTATGTGAGCCTTATGGTCAGGTGTGTCTTATGGAGTGAAAAATACGATACATGTCTTGAGATTTTGTTTTACCAAAGACATGCAGCAGAATACATTTTGGCCTAAATTTATAACTATGTTTGAGTTTATTGGATATTTTTTATAACCAAAAGTGAAACATTGTTTTGTTTTTTTTTTTTTATGGCGTAAAAAGTAAAAACCGCAGAGGTGATCAAATACCACCAAAAGAAAGCTCCATTTGTGTGAAAAAAAAGGGACATAAATTTTGTTTGGGTACAGTATTGCATGACCATGCAATTACCAGTTGAATTAGCACATTGCTGAACAGCAAAAATGGCCTGGTCATGAAAAGGGGGGGGGTAAATCTTCAGGAGGGCAAGTGGTTAAAAGCACCTATTCTGTGAGTGGAGCCTGGAGTGTGTGTAACTGTGCTTTGGGTATCTAATGTCCTAAACCTATCTGCTCTTGGTAAATTGCTGCCAAATACAATTTCTATGTAAAAATGAATGATACCCAATGTCTAACAAACTACGTTACCCATGGACTCCGTTCTTGTGTGAAATACTAGTCCGCCTTGTATCTGAGGATTCTTAATATGCCTCTGGGGTCAGGGGGTGCAATAAAAATTAGATACACTTCACTGCTATCATTAAGTATTGTAGACATGACAGAGAAATGTTCATTTAGTCCAATTACTAACATTGCCACAACATCTAGGTAGAACTTTCTGGTCTGGTTAAAATATTTTTGTTGTTTGCACAACCCAAAAGTAATTTTATCAATGACTCATATATTGTCCTTCCTTTAACCCCCATCTCTTTTTTACCCCCATCTCAGACATTACTTACCCAACATCATCGCACATCATACTTGGAAAATAAGCCTCTGAGTTATTGTATCCCCCCAACTCTACCTCCCCTCATTTGTACACATTTTATCTCCCCTTCTCAATTCTATAATCCAGACATTCCAGAGTTCCATACCCAACACTATGGAAAAAATAGATTTTGAGTGTACTATGCTACTGTATTATAATTTAAAATAGATTCTTACTTCCTGACTGATATGCATATCATGGCCCTGAGTACTATCTATGCCTGCACAATGCTCCGAGGCTTCATAGAGAAAGTTCACAAAAAAAAAAAAGTTGGCACCTCTTTATGCCTGAAAAAGATGGCACTTTTGTTTAAAAGTTATATAGCTACAAGGGTCAGTACCAGGGGCGGACTGACCATTTGGAAACTCGGGCACTGCCTGAGAGCCCGGGGTCAGTAGGGGGCCCCATGAGATGCCCCGGTACATTTTTCATAGGCTTTTTTGAGTTTGGGCAAGGACACGGGGGCCCCATGATCCCCTATTGCCCGGGGGCCCCATGAGTTGTCAGTCTGCCCCTGGTCAGTACATACAAGCAGTTTTAAATCTCAGATACCGATGACAAATATATGCTGGTCTAGACAACATACACAGCTCATTATTTGTAAGCATGCAGAGTAAGGCGCATGCAGAACTGTATCTGGGGGTGGTGTGAAATGTAAGCAAAATGCATCTGGAGTGTGTTTTTTTTGTGGTGTGAACCGGTCCTCACAACAGAAAAATGGAGGCTGCTGACTGACTAGTTCTTGAATGTGCATAAACCAGAGATATCATCTGTACCTTGTTGAGTAACTGACCCAGAGGAAAAAAAAGTATGTATAACAGGTACACCACACTATGCCTGGTTCAAGCCACTGACTCACTGTAATGAAGCCAGGAAAAGGATGAAAGCTCTGGAGCATATACCATAAAAAGAAGTCAGCAGTGGAAGCCCCATAATCCTATCCTGAGGTCTTTTTTTTTATCAAGATTGTCTGCTCAGTGCATTGCTCTGTTCCACATTTTAACTTGTTTATTTTTTCTGAGTGACATCTAAGGCCCACAGACAGTCTGGGATTGTAGAAAAGGTAAGGAGAAAAAAAAAAATTCGTATGTGGCTTCTAAAACACAAACAGAAAATCCACTGAAAAACAACCCCAGTAAAAATACAAAGTCACACTTGTAAAAGTGCAGGAACACAATGGTATGTCATACCATTGAAGCTCACATTCAGACTTTTACAAACAGTAGAGCAGCATTCAAATTGTTTTCCATTTAAAATGTGTATTTTAGAACCACGTCTGAACACAGATCACACAGGTAGGGGGCACTGTTGTTATATATATTGTTAGACGGTTCTGATAAAAACAAAATGTGGAAAAACCAGATTACCATTCAAGTAACTTTGAGTTAAATTTTGAATAAAAAAAAAAAGAATATTTTACACAGCGTGCACTGTGAACACACCTAATAAATTCGGACTGCCAATCATATGCAGTAAGTGACATGTTATGAGCCATACATAGAAACAGTTATTTAGTCTTCAGTAAACAAACTTGTCATCTTTAATTATGGTTTGTCGTAGGCAAGTTTTTCATACTAATGTATTTTACTGTTTTTTAAGGCATACCTTATCAAATAACCAGGATAATCAATGAATAAATAAATGGTTCTCCAACTCAACATCTGTTTCCATGGTGAAATTAACATACCTACTCCTTCTGAGATTATTACAAATGGCAGCAGAAACAGCCAATCAAAAGAATAGCATGGAATACACAAATTATGGAAATTATAGTACATGAGAGAAAATAGAAAACTCAAGCTGGCAAAACCTGGATCAAAATTCGGCTGGTTCAGCAGGGACTGGCCGAATTTCAATCCATGTATGGGCACCGTAGTTGTACAAAAGTTGATCTGCCAATTGACATTTGTACAAGCAGCCTGTTTCCCCCCCGATTGATCAGTTCCGCCAGCTATAGCAGGAAAAGGAGAGAAAGCGGCACTCCAGTAATAAAAATCTTGCATGTTTTATTAAATGTAGTAACAAAAAGATACTATACTCCATCAGTGAAACAGCTGACGCGTTTCACGCTCTTACCGCTAAGAGATAAAAACGAGACAACTGTTTCCCTGATAGAGATATGTATAGTATCCTTTTGTTACTATATTTAACCACTTGCCGACCGCGCATAGCCGAATGACGGCTTAACCGCGGCCGGCCAGTTCTGAGTGGACGTCATATGACGTCCTCCCAGAACGCGCTCTCCTGCGCGCCCCAGGGGGCGCGCACCCGGCGATCTCCGTGATCGCTGTGTCCTACGGACACAGCTGATCACGAGATGTGGTGAAAGGCCGATCCCACCGGCCTTTTACCACGTGATCAGCGGTGTCCAATGACACGCTGATCACAGGAAAATGCAAGTGCCGGTTCTCGGCTGCACTTTCCTCACGCTGTCAGATCGTGAGGAAAGTACTGCCGAGAACCGGCAGTTGTCAGAGCGGGGATCGGCACCGATCATCAGGGCACTGATGATCAGTGCCCTGATGATCGGTGCCCAGCAGTGACCCCCGCAAGTTCCGATCAGCTGTGCGCCCACTAGCCCCGCCCACCCATTCCCAGCGGTGCCCCCACCTGTGCCCAGCAGTGCCCCCACCTGTGCCCAGCAGTGCCCCCACCTGTGCCCAGCAGTGCCCCCACCTGTGCCCAGCAGTGCCCCCACCTGTGCCACTCTGCAGTGCCACCTACCTGTGCCCAGCAGTGCCACCTACATGTGCCCAGCAGTGCCACCTACATGTGCCCAGCAGTGCCACCCACCTGTGCCCACCCACCTGTGCCCACCAGCGCCACCCACCTGTGCCCACCAGTGCCACCCACCTGTGCCCACCCACCAGTGCTGTCCACCAGTGCCACCCACCAGTGCCACCCACCAGTGCTGCCAGTCAGTGCCACCAGTCAGTGCCCAGGGGGGTTGTGCCAGTCAGTGCCGCCAGTCAGTGCCCAGAAGTGATGCCAGTCAGTGCCGTCTATCAGTACCCATCATCAGTGTCACCTATCAGTGCCGCCTATCAGTGCTGCATATCAGTGCCGCCTATCCGTGACCCCTAATTAGTGCTGTCTATCAGTGCCGCCTATCCGTGCCACCTCATTAGTACTGCCTATCAGTGCCCTTTAGTGCTGCCTATCAGTGCCCATCAGTGCCGCCTATCAGTGCCCATCAGTGCCACCTCATCAACGCAAATCAGTGAAGGAGAGAAAAATACCTGTTTGAAAAATTTTATAAAAGAAACAAATAAACTTTTTTTTTTTTTTTTCAAATTTTTTTGCACTTTTTTTAATTTATAGCGCAAAAAGTAAAGTGCCCAGTGGCGATTAAATACCACCAAAAGAAAGCTCTATTTGTGAGAAAAAAATGATCAAAATTTCATATGGGTACAATGTTGCATGACCGCGCAATTGTCAATCAAAGTGCGGCAGCGCTGAAAGCTGAAAATTGGCCTGGTAAGGAAGGGGGTATAAGTGCCTGGTAGGCAAGTGGTTAATAAAACATACATGATTTATATCGCTGAACTAGAGCTCCTCTTCCTCTTTTCTATTCCTGTGATGTTTTGCAACTGCGGACCAAGCTGGTACCCGGAAGTTCAGCAGTACTGTACCATGTCGTCCACCTGCAGGAGTACGCACCCAGCTGGCAGCGCTGATCCTTGTATTCTGAGAGCAAGGAAGGCTTCTCACCATCATAACACAATAGCACAGTTGGAGGGATTCCCTCATCCACCTTGCATGTGTCGATGAGGAAATCGTATAATTTTTATTTTATTCAACCCGCTGGTTGAACGAATAAATGATGATAAATGTATGGGCTGCCTTAGCATGGAGTAAGGTGTAAATGGATTCAAGTAAAGTTTGAGCAATCTAACCAACACCACACCATTGCAGATTTCGAAAGACAAAGGGGGAAAAAGTAAAAGCCTGACAATAATTATAACCACTTTCCACTGTGCTTTTATTGGTGTCTATGGGTGACCACATACCAAATGAAAAAAATGCCCAAATAAGCATATAAACAATAAAACTTATGAGAAGTTCTGAAGACAAACCAAAAGATGTGCTATGTTCTTGGATCCCTGCTATTGGTTTGGTTATCTTTTCTCTTTCGTACTCCTCCCCCCCCCCCCTTTTTTTTTTTGTTTCTG